GCCTGTCTACAAGTCCCCACCACCACCACCTAAGAAATCTCCTCCACCGCCAGTCTACAAATCTCCCCCACCGCCCGTCTACAAGTCACCGCCAGTCTACAAATCTCCACCACCACCAGTCGTAAAATCTCCACCATATGTCTACAAATCCCCACCTCCTCCTCCTTACCACTACTAAGACATCAAACTACTTCAAATTCCCAAGTAAGCAATAAATTTACTAACATCACTACTTAATTTCATCATAATTTACCAAATGAACACATATTAAATTGCATTACTTAACAACTTTATAATACAAAAGCATGCTTTAAAGTCGTAATACACGAAGTTTCGTAATTATTTGATCGGTCGATAACTAAGTTGTGAATGATATTGCAGGAAATTAAGGAGGACGTCTTAAATAAAACAGAAGTTGGATAGCGATGAAGAGGTTTTTGCATAATGACAACGATGGATCCATGCAAGAAGAAATGGCTGGATAAAAGATATATTTTATGTAGTAATAATAATAAGCTCAAATAAATATTCGGACAATCTCCTTTTTCATTTGTTGCATGTTTGTGTTTTGATACAGTAGCCGGTGTGAGTTGTGCCACTTTATAATGTTGTGTGTTTTATTATGTCAAATCTCTTTTTAGCAGAATGTATTTCAGAGGTTTGCTCAATCGAATAAAATTTCCAATTTCTATACTCTAAGAGCCTTCATATTTTATGTTTTGCTTGGTGCAATTATATTTATTTTTGTCACCAAATATATAAATTCTACAATCTAAACTGTAATTATGATAAAAGTTTTGAGCATTAATATTATAAAAACAGAACATATACGATCCATAATACTATATTCTAACAGAATTTTAATGATGATAAAAGGGCCGGGGGAGATGATAGAATATGCATTGATTTGATGCTAAAGATAGTTCCCTACATATTGAATAGGGCTCTAAATTTTGAAACTCGAAATTATTCTCTATTCTTTTCATAACATTTTGCTACGCAGTTTTTAATTTTCTTTTCAGATTTAATTTCTGTCATCCATCTCATTAAATTGCGAATTTACATTTTGCGGACAAACATAATTTCTCAATATGAACAACACAATTAAACGGTCATTAGTTTATGAGTGTTGTTATTTATCGCACCCACTTTTGCTATTCACCATACCCAAAAATTCCTCTTTTGTCCTTACTAAAAAAAATATTAAAAATTTATTTTTTAATTCAGTTTTTTAACATTAAAAAAACTAAAAAAAACGAAAATAAACTATATAATAAATAAATATATATTAAACATATATATATAAATATATATCTATATATATTTTAAAAATCAAAATAAATATATATTAAATATATATATATATATATTATATATGAAATATATAAATATATATCTATATATATTTTAAAAACCNNNNT